TGATAAAAGATTCCATTGATCAAGAGTTAATGTTGATTGATCAGATTCTAAGAGATTTAATGTTTGAATCTGAAAAAAACCGATAGAAAAAGATTATTTGTAATAAATGATGTTATAAAAATTGACAAGAAAAATTTCAGGGTCATTTTGAAGATCTCAAAATTAGTATTCTGTTCATATTAAGTGCTTATATAATTAATATAGGTGTGAAAGTATTATTTAGAATTCGAGATATAGAATTAAACAATAACCATATATTTTGTGTATAGTTATTTAATTCGACATTGAGTTGACATTATTGAGATACAATCTATAAGTCACTATTCTGTAATACAATATTTGAAATTATTTGGATGAGTTGACTGATTGACAAGATTTCAATATTATTGTAATGGAAACAGTTCAATGCTATGACATCTGGACTTTATCAGATTTATCTCGGAGTTAGCCAGATCAAGGTTTAGATTAGGGATCGATCTAATGGTTTGTACTTGAGACAAAAAACAGTTCCTCATGACTTGGTTATAATAAAATTATCGTTAAGATTGTCTGAGAATTATATAAAGCCTACTGGAAGCAGAATTTGGAATGACTATCAGACTTACTCTAAAACAGTCTCAAAGTGTTGAAATCGATGGGTTCTTATTGCATCTGACCTTGTAAAATTTTAGTCATGAAATACGATTTCGTATTAGTTATCGAATGAGAATCTGTTCGTACGTTGTATTTTATTCTATTCTCCTAGATTCAGTTGTGCGACTATGAACTAATCTCAACTCCAGAGATTTCATTATGAACTTCATCACTTTGTTCTTTTTACGATTCTCATGATAGTAACAGTTATATTGGAATATTCAATGTTGTTTTTTTTTGCTATTTTAAAGATAAAGTCATTAGTTTTGAATTAAATCATTTTACAATTTTTTTTTTATTGTTACATCGAGTCTGATAATGATCACAAGACTTAGACAAATAGAACAAAATTATATATGAAGAAGCTAACCTGTTCAGGCATATGTTTCTTATTTATTATCATTGATGTTGTTGGTGCTGATGGATTTGAAGCACCAGTCAATTTTTTTTCTTCTTTTTTGTCATTTTTCATATATCGAAATGATCGAATCATTTCAATACTCATTCCAATATCAAAACATTTTGCAAGTCGACACGAAGCACATGTATGACGATTATTTATGTTTATATCACAATCATTGTCAAAGTAACATTTCAATACTGCCTAAATAAATTAATTTAAATGAGAAAAAAACAATTTTGATTTCTATCAACCTGTTTCTTTACTGCATTTCGTTTAAAAAATATTTTGCATGAATGACATACAATTGCACCATAATAAGAATATCTTGCAAGAGCTCCACAAATTTTACATTCACATAAAACTGTGTTCTTCTGTCGCTTAACATTGTTACAAAGTATTTGTGATGTAGTTGAATCTTCAGTAGCTGTTCTTGCCATAATTAAATCATAAAATATTTTATGTGTATTCGTTAGAAAATGCACTGCTGTGTCAGACCAAGGAGAAAAGAAAAACACGACGAGTAACTCATGACTTTGGTGCATAAGCGACATGAGAGATTGTGGTCGAAATGAAGAACAGAAAAAAGGTTTTTTTCAACCCATCAACAGAATATATAAAGAGCGTATAATAAGTTCTGATCCCCTTCAAGTAATATTCTTTTCTCTCGTATTTTTTTTGCTGTAGAATAAAATGATATTTGTAGCATATATACTAGACAGACATATAGATTTACTCTACGCTAGAATTTCAGCCTTCTATCTTTTATAGTCATAGAGATACAAGGAACATAATATTCATAGGAGTATTTTAAAATAATTAAAGGATAATTCATAATAAATAATAGCGTTTTGAATTTCCTTATCTCATCATCTAATGCGTTATATGAAAAAAAATATATAGCACAAGGTGCAGCGTGAAAAGCTCTACAACCTACATAGTGAAGTTTATTTTATTTGTGTACCTATTGTTTTCAAAAAAAAAAGCTGCGACCGCTTTTCGCAGCATCGAAAATTGATCGCTCATTTTTTGAAAATAAAATGTACCCAGCTAAGATAAGCTTTAATATCCAGATTGTAGAGCTTTTCATGCTGCATCTTGTGGTATGTTTTGCTATTTAATAAAACGCATTAGATGATAAGAAAATAAAATTCAAAACGCGGTCATTTATTCTGGTCAACCCGTTATTCCAAAAAATTCCAATGAATTTTAAGTTACTTGTATCTCTGTGACTATAATTTAATTTCAAAGTTTTGAAATTTGATAAGGTGAATAGATTCTTTTTTTGATAAGCTGTGAGTGTCGCTGTAGAGAAGGAAAGACCTGGATTCACATCCGCATGACATGCAATCGTTATTTTAGTATTATAAATCTTTTAATACGATGATGTACAGAGTCTACTAACTTAGCATTAAAAATAGATGTATAAGATTCGAATTATAGTTTGTAGTTACAAATGAAATTCAATTGAATCTTTTTCTTGTGACTTCAGTTTCAAATTATTCTTTTTTAATTATCATGAACAACTGTGAATATGAGTGCATTACATGACTAGATTATGCAATGATATAAGTATTGGTTTATAATTGTATCAAACATGTCAACAAATAACAAAAAAAACATTTAAGAGTGTTGACGTAGATACAGATAATAGTGTTGTTCTTTTCATTGATACACCCACATCTCCAATATGTTACAAGCTATGATTATTGAGAATGTTTAAAGGAAGTTTCGGATCATGTGGCTTGACGAACTATATTCAGTTTCTTAACTGCAATTTTTGTGATGTTTTTCGTGTTCGATTCTAATAAAAAAAGGGCTCTGTAGCTTGAAAAATGACTGAACTATGGATGTTAACATTTCTGCAAAGATTTTTGCATTGCATACAAGTAGAAAAACTTCTATTATAACATTAACTATAGTCATTTCAGTAGTTGTAATTGTGATTATGATTGTTGGCTTTGTTAGTTTTATAGAGAAGATCATCGAAAAAAAAAAAAACATATTCTCAATGCATTTCTCGTCTATTAAACGATTTAAACCAATTAATGCCAAGAAATAAAATCATTATTAACTTGATCCAATGCATAAAGATTCGAAATTTTCATTTTCACTATTCAATTTTATTAAAAATTGATTTAAAGAGTATAGATATACATATATACGTATCTATGCTCTTTTGATATAAAGATAACGAACTTGATATACCTTTACATTGGTTATATGTCAACAATTGAGTCTATTACATTTTTATTTTAAATAGAGAAATTAATATTTAACGAAATCTGATAGAACTGGAACAGGAGGATGTATTGCTTGCGGATGTGAACGTAGAGTAAGAAGTGACATAAATGCTGTATAAATATAAGCACCTATGAAACCGAATGGAAAAAGCAACATTAATACTGCCGCAGCTAATTGACCTCGAAGAATTTTTATTTTAGTTGGAGCTGTTGTTACCATTGTATTATAAGGAGTAACTGCATTTGCATCTAATCCAATCAAAATACAAATAAATACAAGTGCAATTAAATGTGTTATAAGAGTATAAGTTGACCAAATACGTGATCTATGATAAGCAGATACTAAAAACAAACAAATATTTCTTATTGAAAAATAAATTCTAAAAATTTACCTAGAAGATACATAAAAATAACAGGTATTACGAAGAATATTGAACACCAAATTCCGGCTCCTGTTGAAGCTGTATTAGATAAATTATTTGAATAATCATATGATAAACTTGCAACTTCAAGACTAAATATAATTACAATTAATATAAGCATCAATGATGCTAATACTACAGTAAATACACATGGCCATGAACGACGCCAGAGAATTTCTTTAAGAGATAATTGTTGTCGTCGATCGAGACCCATATGAGCATAATGTGGTGCATAATAGTATGGTGAACAGTGTTGATACATGACAAAACGTCGTTCAATGAATAAATATATTTGATTTTATATGTCTCGTTTTGTTATACAAACCATTAGAGAATAAAATGTAGAGATGGTATTCGAAACAAGGTTTTTTATTGATATATACCTTCAAAGTGATATGATTTTTTAAATGAAGGTATACATTATAATAAATGATACACGGTAGCAATAATGTAGAATAGACAAAGAAAAACGACATATTTCAAATTGATTATTTCAATGAAATTTTATTTATTTAATCATTAACGAGAGTGACATCTATGTCAATGTAGATAATACAATACATATTATCAAAATGAGTTTTACTTTGTAAATTTCTTTTCAAATTATCTTTGGAATTCTGAAATGAAAATTTTAATGTTTGTAGAAGGTCAAAATAAATGAATTTTGTACCAATAAAATGTTCTTAAATCTTATTGTCTATCTATTTCTATTCATTTATTTTTGTCTATTATTTGAAAATTTTCATCAAAAGATTCGAGTAAAATCTTTTATAAATCTTCAAAAGAGTATATTTATGATTTTTTTGAAAAGAATCATGTAATGAATTCTTCAACTAAAATCAATAGTTCATTTACTGAAGAATATGTTCTTGATGATATTGCAAAAGAAGTTTGGATTTATTTTTTTCTTTGATTATAATATATTATATTCTTATCAAGGCTGAACTTCGTCTTCAATATGAACGTGAACAAAATCGTGAAGCACGTCAAATTCGACATAAAGAATTAGAAAAAAGTGTACAAGATGTATATATTTATTTTTTATCTTCTATATTTAACAAACATTAAATTATAATCAATTATTTAGGATGATGATGATGATGAAAATTCATTAACAATTCCACTTAGTCCATTGACATCAATAGAATCAAATAAAGTAAATAGTTACAAACACAATTTTTTTTTTTGAAAAATAAAAAAACTTAATTTTTTTGTTTAGTCTTACATGATGAATATGAATGGTACAATAGAAACAAATACAAATTCTTTGTTATTTCAAAAATTTCTTAATGGTGATATTGATCTTCGTTCAATTGAACAACGTGATTTAAGAGTTTGTAAATTTTTTTGTTTTCTAACGTGTTTTGTTTTCGAATTTTTGTAGCGTTTATTAAGTGAATTTGAATCAAAATATAAATCTTTAATGATTAATAATTCAAGCATGTATAATGAAAAACAAGCATTATATTATCAAATTGATACATATAAAGATATATTAGATGAACATTATGAAATATTTAATCAAACTAAAAGACAATTAAAAGATAAATGCAAAGTAAATTTATTAAATTAAATCAAATGACATTCTTATCTTTTCTTTCTATAAGGATTTTGATATACAAAAACAAACATTAATTGATTTACAAAATAATAATAATCAATTAAAAGAAATTTTAAGTAATTGTGAAAAATTAATTCAAGTAAATAAAAAGATTTTTAAAAATTTTCTTTTTTTTTTTTTTTTTGTTTCTATGCAAAATTTTATAGGAATCAGAAATAGAAATTTATATTGATGAACAACAAAAATATTTATCAATTGATTTAAAATGTCAAGAATCATTTCTATTATCTAATTCTTTTACTAATCGATCGATTAATGAAAAATTAAAAAAAATATTAAATGAAAAACATCAACAAATTGAACAAATTAGTCGATTAAAATTAGAATTAGATGAAGCAAATCATCATTTAAGAATATTAAAACAACATATACCAAATTCAATTGATTTACATAATCAAAATATAAATAATGCTTGTGATTGTGAACAACAAAGTATACAAATATATTTAATCAGAAGAAAAATTAAGTTTATTTCGTCTTTTTTTGTTTTTGTAGAACAATTAATAAAACAAATAACAGATTTAAATAATGGACTACAACGATTATCAGCTGATAATGGATCATTACAACAAGAAGTAATATATTTCTATTCAAGACATCCGATGAAAACCAAAGTTTTTTTGAAAAGTTTTCTTAATCGATCTGAAACAACAAACTTCTTTTAACAGCTTTTTGATCCGTGAAAAACTATTTTCGAGATCCCTCTATTTCAACAAAACTCGATTTTTTTCCCAACATATTACCTTGTTGCGTTTAATCTATTCATAGTTATCTTAGTTTTAGCATATGATTATGCTAAAGTTCCATGTCGAAATGCATAAGATATTGTTCGACTTCATTTTGAAATACGATCAATATCATGAAATCAAAGATTTTCGATTTAAGACTTATTTTTAATAGAATAGCTAATTTTTTTATATTCAAAATTATTGCTAATTGTTTGTTAAGTAGTCAGTATTTTCAGAATGATTTATTTTGTAGACTTTTTCATTATTTCTGTTAGTAATTAATGTGAGATATAGTTAAGAAGAAGTATATTGTTGTGTAAGAGTTGAAAACTTACAAAAACTTTAAAAAGAATGAGTATTTAGGAGAAAATCAACGTTGAATTTTTCTCAAAATCGAACTCTATGCAAAAAAAAAATGAACAATTTCACCTCCGTTTCTCCTACATGCTAATAGACATTGAATTGAATCTTTGTTTGTATATACTAATCACTATTTAGCGTGGGTACTTTGTATTTATTACAAACATTATTAGTCTAGTGATTTTTGACATGTTCTGTATCTAACAAAAAAAACAAAAAGTCAATCATTTTGTTAGAGTACATCCGATATTTTCACTTTTTTTATTGAAAGAACAAATAATTCAAGGAATACAAACTTTATCCTCTATTGTTTTTCGCTTATTTGATTTTTTTTTGAATAAATTTTGTTTTTAAATTAGAATATACGTTATGAAGCTCAACTTACACGATATAAACAACAATTAGATGATGCAGAACGTATTGAAAACGAATTAAAACAAGAACGAAGACGATTACAACGAGAGGTAAATTTTCTTTTTTTTTTTCATTTCTAAACATGTACAAAAAAAAACAAACTAATTAAACATTATAGAATTGTTGTTGTTCTTAATTATGTAAGAAAAAAATACAATTATTTCTTTTTGCAAATATTATTTATTTGTTTTTTGTAACAAAGATAATTATTAAAGATTTTAAAAGATAAAGACACGAAAGAATGACACATTAGATGAAACTTGTCTTCGAGTACTTTTATCAAGTTGAGTGCATTTATATTTAAGTTCTCGATTAGGGAAGGGATTCTTTCCCAAATATCTAACTTTTTGCCAATTTTTAATACAGTTTCGTGGTAACTTCGAACAGAAACCAGATTTTGAAACATCATTTACTTTTCTTTGATAGGTCGTCTATTGTGAGAAAGACTGGGCTAAGATGTATGTCGTTCTTCTTCTTCAACCTCCCAATCATTATTTCTAACACTCTTACTAGAATAGGAGCACTTTCCATCGAATTTTTAGTTTCTCTCATCCCAAAAAAAATATCAAAAGTTCCAAACTGTGTGAAAAGTTTGATTGTTCAGTCGTCCGCGCCAAGTTTCTTTTTTTATTTTTGTTGTTTGAACTCTAATGAAAATTGCTTCTTTTATTTGTTTATTGTAGTTGCGTATTATAAATGATAAATTAGAAGATGAACGTACACGAAGTGATGTTTTACAACGAGAAAATGAACGTTTACGTGCATTACGTACAAAAGATTTACTCAATAATAGTAATGATAAACTTGTTATATCAAGATCACATTCACCATTATTACCAACTAATTCCAATGATATACAACAAACAAATTCTTCTATAGAAGAATCTATTTGAATTTCGTTTTTTTTGTCAGTTGTGATATAACATTAATCTGTTTGATATTATTTATTTTATGCATTCATATCATTGTTGAGTTCTATTTTTTTTTTTTTTTTTGTGTTTATATTTATTTTCTTTCTTGTCAAAACTTATAGACAGATAGTCTTTTTTTTCTTTTTGAAAGATTGTTATGCAGATAAAGATATAAGTAATATATTTAGTATTTTGTGGAAAAAAAAAACTGAATAAAGAGAAGATCATTCGTTTTATATATTGAATTTAAATTAAGAACGATGTCTATTTCGATTTGTTTGACGACTATCAGAACCGTTTAGGTTTAACTTTTGTTCAATTGGTTTTGATGTTGAACTTGAACGACGGTTGGATTTTTCATAAGCAAGACTAAAAGAAGTGAAATCAATTAAATTTTTTTTTTAAATAGAAAAAAAAAATTACTGTCAAGCCTCTTATCAACGGATAATGAAATTGTGAGATTTCCAGAGAGTACTTGAATTCAAGGGAAAATTAAAATAGCCTTAACATCGTTCGCACGAGTGATTTATTTATCAAGTGTAAAGGCTGTTTGAGTGAATTTTTCTCCAAAAGGAATATATCTACAACTAAATGAAATAAAGATAATTCGATCTGAAGTTGTGTTCACAATTAGGTCTTATTATTTTTCTAGTATACACTGAAATTTTCAGCTATAACAGATGTTTTCTCTTCAAGATATTGAATTATCAAACAATGTTAACACGAAAGATGTTGTCTCAAAGAGAAAGCATGCGTTTCAACTGAAAATTTTGATGCATACTATAAATAATAGAATTTAATTTTAAACACAATTTCAGATCGACATACTTTTATTTAATTTTACTGTCGATATCTTATTTTTGAAGGAAAATTTAAACAATAGTAACTTTTGACTAATAGGTCATAAGTATCAATAGCTTCAAAGCTGTCTTAAATCTATAGAGTTCTACTTTTTGGACAAAATATAAGCTGAAAAGCGAGGAAACAGTTAGGATACATTTGTCATGAGTTATTTTCAAAGCCTTTTAAATTATACTGGGTCATAGATGGAATTGGTCTAAAATTTTTCAGACCGGTACTGGTGTCGGTCTGACTTTGTCAGATTGGATCGAACCGGTCGGTCTACCGGTAACGTATGATACATCAATAAGTCACAGAAAGAAAAAGAAGTAGTTTAAATATGGAGAATACAGTTTATCGCGTGGCAAACTTGATTTGTCAAGTTGTATCACATGCCTGATATAGAGATGGAACCAGTCTGAATTTTTGACAACTAGTACTGATACTAGTCTGAAAAGGTTAGACAGGTCGGTCTACCGGTTTCATCTCTGTATTGGGTATATACAATAAACAGATCTATGTTGAACTGTTCTATAATACTAACAGTAATCGACTTAGAGCAACTAATAATTTCAGAGTATTTTATTCAATGTTTTTCATATATATGTGAAAACAATGAAACTATAAGAACGTTGATTAGTAATATGAATTTTGTCTTCAAGCTCTTCGTATTTTTTAAAGTTCGTATAAATGTTTAAATTTCTGAAAATTCTTAATATATAAAATTAAATCGTGAGGCATTAAATCACTCTTATATTTAGATTTCTTCAAATGAAACAGTAAATCTTTAACAATGAAATATTGTAACAAATTATCCAAGTTCAGATTTATTAATGTAGGTTTAAGAAATGTATTAACTAACAATGAAGACGTCAATTTATATGATATTTCATAGAGGACACATCAAAACTAAATCATTGATGAAATACCAAAAATCAAAAACATTTTGATTTTCCTATCCGAAAAGGCAAGACCATCTTCTTAAACTAATACTCGATAGACTCAATATTTCGAGTTGAAAATTTCATTTTGAAATTCTTAGCACGAAGTAAACTGCTTTTAGAAAGTTTCATGAACATTAAATGAACAAATTGTTGAGGTGAAGTTTAATAAATGTTACTCAATGATATCTATTAAAATGCTAATTCAGTGCATCTATCATCAATAAATGATATCATATTATTTAAAACAAACATTGATGATTATAATATATATATTTATTGAACTCACGTCATTTGTTCTTTAATTAATAATGTTAATTTTGAATTTTCAGCTAATTCATGACTTGCAGTTAACCATTCTCGTTGTTGTTCATAATCTAATTTATTCCATCGAATTCTTTTAAATAAATGCATTATAATTTGACTATTTTCTACATGATTTGATGTAATCCAATTTAAAATTCGACTTAAAACAATTGTTTCATCACGATTTTGTATTGTTTCATCAGCTAATATATTTGAAATAGTTGTATATGGTAATTGTAGAAAATTTTTCATATTAATACATTGATTAAAATTTTTTGATAAATAATAATGTGATTCATAAAAAGATTTTTTCATTCCATAACGTCTTGATAATTCAAGTACACGAAATACATGACGTTTTTCAAATGTTGATAAAAATTCTTCACATATTTCAAAAATTTTTCCAATATCAAGTTCTTTTGCACAATTTAAAATATCATTTACATTACGAAATGTTAATGTTAATTCACCTGAAGATATATATTTATATACATTTCCTTTTTTTTTCTCTTTCTCTCTCATAAAATCAATACCAGTATATAAAAAATTTAAAACTAGTTGAAGACCTTTATGTGATGTATGTCGAAGATGAGTACGTGTAACAAAATCAGTTCGACGTTCACGAAAAAACAAACTAAATAAAGAAAATCAAAACTAACAACAGAAACTCTTTCAACTAATAAATGGCTTTTGATTCAATATTATGTAGACCTAAATCAACTACGAATATTCTTAAAAGAGTTCGTTCTCTTAGTTCACAGCAAGAGGAAAAACTACATCAGTTATAATAGAGATTAGATCATTCTGGAACTTTCTAGAATCCTTCAAGAGATTCTACTCTACATTCTAACTAGTATAAATATTGTGAGTTTTCGTATTCAATATAAGCGAAAGAGTCTTATTGTAGATATTAATCAGTATAGTGATGATATTGTTGATTTAACAGAATCAGATAAAGATGGATATAGAAAATTAGGAACAAGTTGAATTTTAAGTATATGCAAAACTCAACAGAATTCATGAGACCACACTGACAAGTTTTTAGATGAATACCGTGTTTCCTCTCCAAAACTGCTTTCCAAAGTTCAACTTGAAACTTTACATAGTGACAGATCTTAACAAGAATAGTTCTTTTTTTATTTTTATTTTTAATGACTAGTCGCCGTTCTTATTCAAAGATACAAGTATAGTAATAATGTGTACTTTACACAGCTTCCATAAACCTATAGATTTGATGTTCTTATTTCAAGATGGAAGCAAAATCAACAGATCTAAAACTATTCTTATTAAGACTTATCCCTATGCAAAGTATCAAATCGAAATTCGAAAATCAGTTTTAACGCTACCTTGACTTTCATGTAAAAATACTGTAAAATTGCAGTATCTTAGTAGCAATAAGCTAAGGACTAGAACTCTTTTATGATATTCTTAGCTTATTTAGTTCAATAGAATGCACGTTGTGTCATTTCAAAGCGATTTATAAGTTGGAAAACTTCACCTGTAAATGATAATTAGATGTATTTCTCTTACCGATATTTTGGACTAAATGCAGCTGACATAAATATTTGACTATATATATAACGAATATTTTTTCTTTTTCAATAAATCCTACCAAGAACAATTCGATGTGCTAAATATTCACTTCCATCAACAACAAGCATTAAATCACAAAAACGTGATTCTTTCCACATTTGTGCTAAAATTTTTCTTGCTTCTATTTCATTATTTGAATGAAGAAATCGTTGAATTATTTCTCGATCATGTATATCTCGATCTGATATTGTTATTGAATTATTTTTTATAGTTGTATATTTATTTTGTTCAATAAGAAATTCATTTAATTTAAGTGTAAGAGGATTATTCAAATTTGAACGACGTTGTGATGATGGTGATGGTGAAGTTGTAATTGATGTTTCATTTGTATTTGATGATTGAGATGTTCGAAGATCTAAAATTGATAAACGAACACGAAATGGACGCACAAGCATGAATGGTGATGAGCGTCGAGAAGACATTTAGAATTATACAATTAAAAAATACATTATCGATTTAAAGAAAAATTATTTCGATCATCGAAATAATAAGAAAAAAAAAAAAGGTGCAAATTTTGTTTCAGAGAAAAAAAACAATAAGAACAAATTCATGCGCCAGACTTATTTATATTTTTATTAATATAGTTAATGTTTGAGAATTATTTTTATAATAAAATTTCAAGGATAAAAGAATGACAGTAGTTATTTAGAAGTATTTATTTTTCTTTGATATATCTCAAATTAATAATTCTAATTTGATGTTATATTCAATGAACTAAATTATTGTAAAATTATCAACAAAAACCAAAATGAACTTTTCTTTATAGTTTTTAAATAAAACTAACATATTTTAACCTTGAAAAAAAAACAACAAACTTCGATTTTATTAATAAATCATATCGCAAAAAGACCATCTTGAAGCATGTCTAATAAAAAAGCAATCTAGTCCGTCGTTAAATATTGAATTAAAAATATACGAATAACTTAATACTCTTATAATCATTTAATTTGACTTTACATAATAAGCTTTAAGAACTCGAAAATATTTCAAAAAGTAACAGTACGTCAATCGATAGACTATGTTGTTAATAAAAGTACTTCAATAATGTGATAAGTTAACTCAAAAATGCAATGCAAACGCTCTAATCATAACGCATGTAAGATCCTTAGATAATATCGAAATCTATCAAAAATACATACAACTAAAAAGTATAATAAATGTTCAAGTTTCACATTCTGTTATATAATAATAACAATGTATAAAATGATTTGAGTCTTCAAATTTAAAATAAAAATCAAACGATACATAATAAATGAAAGCATTCAGTATCTTGCAATAAAGGTTTCATTGTTATGAAAATTTATAAAAAGAAATTAATGAATGTTATTCATTGATTGTATAATAATATAAATGTATATTATCATCTTTTGTCAAACGGGATTAGTCTGAAAATAGGCTGTATAAGATCGAAAATTTTTGATGTCATAGAATAAAACTTGATTGAATAAAATCTTGATTCCATGTAATGTTTTTTGTTGAAAATGCATCTCCCATCGAGGAACGTCTGCTTGCTCTGATCTTGCATTTTTTTTTTCACTGTCTCAATTGCTATTTTCACTACTTTTGAATGAACACATACGCGCTTCTTTTTCTCCCTCTACACTTCATCGTTTTTGGCTAATGAACTATAACTACTGTTCATTATTTATTATCATTGTACATATTAGTGAAAGCAATCAATCACATCAACATATCATCTTACATTAAGTAAAACAAAATTAATTAATTATGATAACAGGTGTGAGCAGGAATGTTGGCCTTTCTGAGAATAATACTCATGCTCATCCACAAATTATTAAATGATCGAATAAACAATTAGTTAACTAAGGAAAACATAATAACTACCAAATACTAAACTTTATACCTTCTATTGAACATTTAATTTAGTTTCTTTAAAAAAAAACTATTTAGATAATTATCAAAAAAAAAAAAACTAAAAGGAAAGTATAAAACAAATATTCAAAAGTTTTGACATATTAAAAATTGCTGAATATATAATATATTTCAATAAATTGTACAGAAATGTTTATCAAACTTATATCAATCACAACCGAAATATAAAGACAACATTGAAACAAAACAAACTCTTATATTCTACTGAAACGCTTGAGAATTCAAAGGTAGTCAAGTAGTTTTTATTGTAAAACTTCATTTCATCTCGTAACAAAAACAAAATACAGATAATAGCTCTCATAAATGAACATTTTTTTCAAATGTTGTGATGGCAATCATTTATGAGATGTTTTAGTGTGTATTTTATGAAATCAATGTTGTCAAGGTTCAAGAGAAAAAGAAAAATAATATTATAACCAATCGGAAAAACTGCTTTTCTTCTTAGAGTTTCTGCTCTTCATTAATTGGCAAAATTGTTCTACTTATGTTTCCACTTCAAAATTTAACGCTTTAAGAATATAATAGATTTTCAACAGCGAACTAACGATCAATAAAATCATATTTTTAAAAGAGTAGAAAAAAAAAAAACCTTTGCAAGCTTTTTCTCCCTTTAAGCTTGCTCAGCTGTGCTGACTTTTTCTTTTGTTTTGAACTTGAATTTTACACTTTTATTCAGCTGTAAATAGTTTATTATTTATATTACAGTCAGGTTAATTGCAAATACATTTGACTCATTTCCAAATTTATTGGATACAGTCGAAAATCAAATTGATTGCCCATTGAAACTCTTCTATTCTTTAGATTAAACATTATTCTTATTCTTTAATTTAATCGAGAGTTTAATAATTGTAATATTATTTCATGGGTACAGGTTCAAGTCGTAGTAAAGTAAAAAAATTCGATAAAAGTAGTCAAATACCGCCAATAATAGATAGAAACACCTCACCAAAACGATATTCATTATCATCATCAAGATCAAATGTTCCACTATTTTCACGTGCTTCACCAAGAATAAATAAGCAACAGCCCACTACACAGTCAAATGTATTCAAATTTGAAGATAATATCGAAGAATATTCAACAATATGGGATGATGATAATAAGGTAAGTTACTATTTGACTGATTTCTAGATTTATCATTCTAATTTTGAATAATCTATAATGTTATAATGATTGAAAAACATTCATTAAACATAAGACATTCTAATAGAAATTCTATGGTTTTGTTTTTCTTGCATTCAGACATGAGTTTATATTCATAAAGACTCAATTAAAATGTAGATATAGACTACAAAACAAATGAAGTTCTATTGAAGTACAGTATAATACCTCTATAATAGTCACCTTCCGAACTTTTAATTTTTAATATGTCCATCAGCTAGAGATTTCTGTGGAGCCGTACTCTTCACAAAAGCTCGTCATTTTGCATTCTTTATTGAAACTTTCTTCATTTGGAAGTCTCACAAACAATGATTAGTATGAAAAGTTTCACAGTTGGTAGACTTCGTTTCTCTGAGTTTTAAATTGTTTCAAAGTAGACATTTATCAAAGCATGATGAACTATACAAAAATATTTTGAAATGTTTACTTTTTGAAGATACCATGTCTAGAATCTATGAAACTCTTCATACAAGCTACTATGTGCGAGACCTTCAAACGATGATAGCTACAAAGAAATTCAATTCTCATAATATTTCACAAAACTTAGGATCATACCAACTTATAGACAACTTGATATATGTCTTTTGATACGAGTAGATTCAAAACAATTTTGATAATATATTATTTAATCTAAAAAAACCAGTATATAAAAATCTAAGAGAATTCTTGAGGACAATATTCGAAATCAATATAACTAATAACTTATTATTCAGTAACTTTTGATAAGAAAACTATTGAATAGTTGAAAACGTTTACTCTTAAGTTTGAAGATAGAAAAATTCATCTTGATTTAATTTTGTTATATTTAATAGCTATCATCAACACTTCAACAAACATTAAAGTCTAATTTAAATAAAATTGATTATCATCAAAAAGAATCATTTAATAATAAAGGAATTAAAAAAACTTCTGCTATATTCGGTTCAGCTCATGTTGAATCAACAGTAGATACTGAAACACATTCTTGTATTAATGTATCTTCATCTGAAAAAGTCGATGAACTTATGATTACATTAAATCAAGTTCATACACAATTAGATGATAAAATAAAACAACGAACAGAAAAAATTTCAAATGAAACAGAATTATTACTTTCACATGTTCGTAATGAAACTCAACAAGAACAACAACGTTTATTAGAATATGCTAAACAACAAGAAATACAACAAGATGAAAATTATCAAAAATTATTACAAGAATATATTTCAAAATTAGATGAAATAAAAGCAAAAGAATTAACTGATTTACAAAAACAATTACAAATTTCTCGTGAACAAATTATAGAAAAAACACAATTTAAAATAGTTAAAGTTAATGAACAAGCTAATATTGTTAAAGCAAAAATTGTTCAAGAAGAACAATATTATGCAGCAGAAAAAATTGATTCTATTATGTCTCAAATATATAAAATTTCTACGGATGAAAAACTTCAACATTTAGGCAGTGAAATAGTAACAAAAACTAAAGTAACAACGGAAGCTAAATTTGGTACTAAAGCACCTGGTCAAGAATGTACTTTTGATTTCGATCAAAAAAAAATGAACATATTATGATTATTCTAGTCAATATTTATATTCTAATCAATAAACAATAAACACTAACAAATTTTGTATCATCTTTGAGCAAAAATAAGCTCTAAATCAATCTACGAAAATTGTTTTTCTTATTCAAATATTAAAAACATCAAGAATAACATTTTATGGACAGAAAAACTATGAAACCTTCATATTATCATCTATAAAATAGTAGCCTGATTTCCATTTCGACTGTGAACTCTACGAGAAACTAAATTTGTCCAGTTTTACGTTTATACTATTCAAACTACTATAACTTTCATATTTTTTACTCTTTAATCCTTTTCAAACATCGAATTGAACCTGATTTTACTGATTCAAGTCTGGTATAGAGGCGGATTCGAACTGAACCGTTGTAGGTTGGTTTGGCTAGTTGTCAGTCTCTGATCCTTTTACTGCCTTTTAATCCATTTAGCTTGTTTTTAGTCCTTCTAGCGTCTGAGTAGATGTACATGTTCTATTCACTATCACCCAGCGCTACGTATATACTTACAATGGGAGTAAGTGACGTACGCAAATATGCCGTTATCTTCTTGGATTTAGATATAGATTTTTCGTAGTTATGAAATTGTACTTCCATTACACTCCGAGGTTTCGTGTACTCTATGTACTCAAAGAGTATATAGGATACATTGTCTCTTCCTTTAACCTTTATCGAGAAAGCAACAAATATTTTCTTAGTCTCATTTATATCTACGTCTATTGGTGATATAGAGTTGTATTTTGTGACAAGTTGCAGTGATTTATTAATAGGATTTATCTCTTTATGAAAGCATGAATATACTCCAATTTACTAAAAGAATAAGGCTCTCCACATGCATGCAAACTATCAGTGAAAACGGTATGGATCATTTGAAGACCTTCTGATATTAGTACAAAAATATCGAATTTTAGTTGTAACTAACTGCTTTTGATCTTCTTCAATACTTTTTAAGTGTTTAAAAAACCAATATATTTCTCGACATCTTTTTATTTCACATTTTGTAGAAATATCAATTGTGTTCGTCATCAAAGATTTTGATTTTTTAAATTATAAACTTATAAATGAACGAAAGTTGCTCAGATATTTTGTGCAAAGACTTTTGTTACACATAGATTAGGTTCTATTGATAGAAATTTCTTTAAACTATTTAATATCTTTCTTTATTGAAAGATAGAATGAAAATGCAGTATTGACACACAACACAAAAAGTTTTATATTTTTTCTTTTTAAATATACACAATAACAAAAAAAACAAAGACAAAGATGAACGTTTGATTTATTTTCTTTCATTTATAAAAGACCTTGTTTCCGAAGATCATCATATGTTCGTTTATTAACAACATTTCCCAACGAATCTTCAAATTCTTCCTACAAACAGAAACAAAAAAAAAACATTATCCGAAATAAATTTATTAAACATATATTTAAAATTGATCAAATCATACCTCCATTTCTGGTTTCCATCGTTCATCATCTTTATTATTTTTTAATTTATTCCATAATGATAAAGCATCTTCAATTGATATTATATTTGCAAAATGAGCTGTATTTGGAATACCTAAACATCGCATTCCATGTGCATGACGCCATTCCTAAATTTATACATCAATTATTTCATTAGAAGAAAAAAAAAACATCGAAAATCAACAACATACAGCAAAATGACGTTGAAATGCTTTTGGTCCACGATATGTATGATTTCCACATATTTCACAATTAAAATACATATTAAGTCCATGTAATTTATAAAGCCAATAAGGAATTGGCTAATAAACACAACAAAAAAAATGTTTTTTTTATTTAAATTAATTTTAAACTTACTTTTCCATCCCATCCAAGTGGTAAATTTTTTGGATTATAAATAAGTCCATCATCTTCTGGTCCTGAATCATCATCTGATATATCACCTCCACCCATATCTTCATCTTCTTCATTATCTTCACCAGCTCTTGCTTGTTTACGACGAACATTATCTAATGTTGCTGAACGTTGTTCACTTAATAAATCAACAAGACGATAAATTTGTGCTTCCATTCCAGCTATTTCTTTATGTCGAATTAATTCTTTACTAAAAAAAAAAATATTCTTTATATTTATTAAAAACAAAAACAAAAATATAAGAACTACGAACTTTCCACGTTTTGTTTTATTAGCATCTTTCATAAATAATGATGGATCAAGATCTTCAAATAATGTATCTTTTGTTGCAAATAAACGCTTAGCACGTTCTTCTAATGTTCTATAACAAATCACATATATTTAATAATTAATAAAGACAATGTATTTTTTTACCCTCCACATTTCATTCCAAGTGCTAATAAAGCAGATTTTAATCTATCAAGACCAACAGATGCTAATTCCTATAAAATAAATTCAAACAAATTGTATATACTATTATCATCGAAAATGAATTAACAGAATATCCTAATTAGTGTCCCATTGCTTTCAAATCTATTGAAGAAAGTCTTCTAACTGTATTATTCAATGATATCTGTTAAAGATAATTAAAAGAAAATCTTATTACCTCCCATGATGAAAATCCGCTTAGATCTAAAGACGCTCCGCCTTTTGCTAAAGCACCACCTGTTTCTTTCTAAAAAACAAAAACAAAATTTATTATAATAAAAACATAAAATCTATATTTTTTGTTGAAATTTACCGGCCAACCAGGAAAAATTCCTTGTTCCCATTTTAATTCAAAATCTTGTTTAATATTAATTAAATCTTTTTCAATATTAATTAATGGTTTACAACGTTTAAGAAAATCTAATAAATATGGAAATAAATTTTCAAATAAATATTGTCGATATTCAAAATTTTTTCGTTCTTTTGGAATTTCATGTAAACGATCAAATTTTTGTAAATAAGTTAAATAATCTAATTTCTATAAATATTTATTTATAAAATTAAATTAAATTAAATTTTTTTTTTTTGTTTCTTACTTCAAGTCCTTTAATATTTAAATAAATTTCATAACATTGATGTAAATCAAGAAAACGACCATAACCTTCTTCATCGGTAAAACTTGCTAATGCTAAATAAATATATTCAAAAAAAAAACAATATTTTATCTTAAATATATATATATTTACCTAATGGTTCACCATCTTCAGTTTCTTGTAATTGTCTCATGAATTGTTCATATTCCGTTGACATAGGAACAGCTATCTAAATAATAACCAAAAAAAAAATACATATGTTTCATTTCTATTTTATCAAAAAAAAAACAAACTTCATCCGATGGATTTTTTGGATAATTTTGACGAATATTTTTAAGTCGTATATAAAATTCTGTAAATTCATTTGGACCTGATAATGCTTGAATTTCTTCTTTACGAGATCTATTTAATAAAAATAACAGAATTTGTTTTTTTATATAATATAAAATTAAATAATTTATGATTGATTTACCCATCTTTATCATCATACATATCTTTCACACGACTTGATGTTTCACTATAACGCTTTACAAAGAAGAAAACCTATTACTTAAATAATAATCTTTCAAATAATTTACTTACATCAAGTAATAATTTAACCATATGTTCAGAATTAATTTGTTCACGATGCTAAATGTATAAAATATATATTTTTGTTTAAATCAATACTTTAAAATTAACTAACTGTGGCTTTTTTACGTAACATTTCTTTTGTCATTGTATCCATTAATCGTTCACGTTCTTCATGATAACGACGTTGTTGTTCAAGAACTGATTCAATTGACATGACAAATGATTTTATTTTTAAATTTATCTTAAAAAAATTTCAAAAAAATAACAAATTATAATGTATGACATATGAAATAAATATACTAATAATCTTTAAATAGACTTGAATATTAAACTCAAACATATACGATGATACTTTTCAATAGAGATATTCTTCTATAATCGAACAAGTATTTTAAAATTTTCTTAAAACTTGTACATTTGATTCTAGATAGGAAAATTTTGAAAGTACTACGAATAAAAATTGTAAACTGTATATCAAAAGAGTCTATGAGTAGCTCAATTACTTATAAAACGATTGAATTTTCTGTGAAACTTTCTTCTTATAATATCATATGTTCAACATTGAATCAATTATTATATTTGAATGTTACCATTTATTTTTGACGAAATTTTCTAGCAAAATTACAAAATACTATCATAGGTTGATTTCAAGACATAAACCAATCAGCTTTTAATTGAATATTTTTAGATAAAAATTTTCATTAGTTTTCATCACTTTAATTTGAATTAATTAAAAACTTTCATAATATACAGATATTCTTCTTCAATATAGATGTCGCTATATTTATAAGTTTCATTTTATTATATATATATATATATAGTACTTCAACGAAATTACTTTTATTTTATTTTATTTTTTTCTTTTTAAAAAGAAATAAAAAATATTTACATAAAAAAAAAAAGAAAAATTAATTATTGCTATCAATTGTCTTCTTGCCTCTATAATGGTTTCTTCTAACAGAAATATTAAAAATCGTCTGATAAAAAAAAAAACTAAATAAATTTGTCTTCAAACTTAAAAAAAATATAATTTTCAAATAAGAAATTTTACATTAATCATGACGAAGGCAGTCTAACATAAAGTCTACTATGCCGTCTAACCAATAAAACTTCTTGGAACGAAAAGAGAAAAATGATTCTTTGTTTGACGTATTTCTCCGTTCTTTTCTCAAACAATAAACGCACCACTATATTACTTGTCGAACGAAAAGAACGACACAACGAACCTCTAAACCACATTTCTTATTTTATTATTCTTCATCTATATTATTAAGATAATCATATATCGTAGTTTTTGTTTTTTTCTTACTAGTCATTCCTTTGTTTTTTTTTTCTCTTTTTCTTCTTCCTATCAACTAGATTATTGATCTAAAATAATGTCGACAGACGCTGAAACTAAAGGCAAAAAGGTATAAATCAATATCTTAGTTTAGATATTTTAAATAAACAATATTTATTTTCTTTTTTTCATTATATAATTAGCGAACACATGATGAAGATGATGAATCCAATGGAGATGTTGAAACAACAACAACAACAACAACAACTGGTTCAAAAAAAAAGGCAACACCAGTTAAAGCAGCAACATCAACAACAAGAAATAAACAACCAATTAATGATGATGATGAATCACGCGAAGAAACCAATGATGATGATTCAAATAGTGTAGAAGCTAGAGCTGCTTCAAGTAATGCTAAAGGTACATCAAAACGAAATGGAAATGCAACATCTACTGATGCTACTGCTAGTGGTAAGTATTTAAAAAAAACAAAAAAAAAAAAAAAAAAAAAAAATACATCGATTTTTTATTTTAGGAGATCTAGAGGAAAGTGCTGATTATGAAGATGATGAAGAAGAAAATTCTGATGAAGAAGGTTTTATATAATTTGAAATATATGAAAATACAAAATTTATTCTTATTTTTTTTTGTTAACCTTAGATTTTAAAGAACAAGGTGAAGGCAGTGAAAGTGACGATGGTAAAAGTATATATATCGATGTATAAAAACAAAACAAAAAAAATCTATTGATTGTATTGTTTTTTTTAGGTGGTAGCGATGTAGGTGCTGGTGGTGATGATGATGAATCAAAAGATGTTGGTGAAGAAGATGACGATGAAGGTGATGAAGAATCAAGAGAGTAAACAATTCATTATCATCAGTGTGTATATACATATGTATCTTTACACACACACACATACATATTGACTTTTTGTTTTTGTTTTTTTCTTGCGTGTAACGTTTAACGTCTTTCTGTTTATTTCTGCACTGATGTCTGACTGATTTAATATCAGTAAAATTCAGTTTTGTAGGTATTAGATAGACGTTTTTTTCCTTCTTCTTTTTTTTTTTTTGTTTGTCTACATGATTGTTGTGTAGTTTTTTTTTCTCTCTCTCTCTCTCTCTTTTTGCTTGTGTCTCATTCATATGTGTTCTTCGTGTATTTTGTATTGTATTTGAAAAATGAGAAAGAAAAAAAACATTTGTCTATCTGTCTTGTTGACAAATATACACGAAAGAACTGTGTCAATAATTAAATTCATTATTTTGTTCTTACATTTATTCAATTGATAGAACCATATGTTCGTTTTTTTTTTGTTGGATTTTTCAAAAGACAAACAAAAAAAAAAACATAGAGTATTCATTGGAAAACTTATTATTGAATAATGAAATCTTTGTTTTGTTTTTGTGCATTTATTCAATTTCTGATTTGTTAATTTTGGATAGACGTTAACTAAACTGTTGGCGAAAATTAAGAGAGAGAACGATTTATATATATCTAGGGCAAACCAAAAGTTCGTAGAACGGTGTTTAAAGAACCTTGTCGGATAAGATAACCTATTCAAAAATGAAAAACCAAATATATCATGTTGTAGAGCTCTTTGAGGCGCGTCGAATGGTATATAATAAATCATGTTTTCATAAGACTTTGAAGGAACTACAGTCAATTTACTGATAGACGACTACACATGCACATCCAAGTGTTATAGGTTACTGAATATTGTGGTCCTTGGGATTAGTCGAAAGTGTTTGTAAAATATTTTTTCTCACATACGATTTTGCAAAATTTTTGACGGGCTACAACCTCATATATATAGCATCTCCGGTCATTTTGTCAGTGTGGGTATGGATGTGTAGTCGTCTATCAGTAAATTAACTCTAGTTCCTTCAAAGTCTTATGAAAACAGGATTTATTATATACCATTCGAGGCGCCTGAAAAAGCTCTACAACATGGTATATTTGGTTTTTCATTTCTGAATAGGTTATCTTATCCGAAAAGGTTCTTTAAAGCCGTTCTGCGAACTTTTGGTTTGCCCTAAGTATATATATTGTTCTGTAGGGAAATTCTTTTAATATACATCTATTTGAATTGTTTGATTCGTTATATAGTAGGTCAAAAGAAGTAGAATTTTTATTGATTTATTGTTGAAAGAACTAATAGAAAATTTTTCTTTTGATCTGATTGAGATGCGAATTGTTAATTGTTTGGTTTATTCTTTGACATGGATTATTATTGTAAAATTGTGTTATCAATGTTGTTTTTTTTTACACAAAACTTAGAAGATGTATTCCGAGAAGAGATGACTTCTAGTCTTGAGAAATTTTCGTTTTTCTTCGACGAAATCTCAGCATTGTTATTTTTTACTCAAGAATCCTTCGAACATATTAAATCAGGTCTCGAACTCAATCAAGTTTAGTAAAGATCTTCTAAAGCAATGATCCTGTCTGCTTCATGACACTTCGTTTAATTAGTTAAAAAACAAAAAAAAAAGAATATTTCTTCAAATTGTCAATGTGTTTTTCATTAGGTTTGTTTTTTACTGTTATCATATTATTAGTATGAACATATCGATCATCTATTCTTCGATGACATTGATGATGTATCGTTGATCATTTCTTGCTCGATTCTTAACGAAATTTATTTCTTTTAATTTGTTGATAGTATAATAAATTGAAAATCCTCATAGGAATCATTGCTTCACATTTCACAATGTTAGTTGATCTTATGGTTTTGCTGAAATAATGCTATATAAAAATGTAGACTCATGTTTAATAAAAAAAAAAAGAAAAAGAAGAGAACAGAGTAAGACATTCTATTTACATATATTCAAAAACAGAACAATCGTACTTTTATAAAAATCGTTTCATAAGTTGAATGTGAAAGAATCATCACGAAAAAACATGAAATTTTGAACATAAAAACACTAGAAAATGACTATTGTGCAAATTTTTATAAATAATTATATTTCAAAATTTGATAAATTTTTGTAAATTGATTACAAACAGTTATCTACGAAAGTTCTCCAGAGATACTTATAGATAAATGTGTTTTGCCTCGTTTTTTTTTTGCACTTATTTGGCCTCAAGTGAATATTATTCATAAGAATCATGTAAAATAGTTTATTTTAGTACATTCTATGACTAATGTGAAATAGCTTCAATTAAGATATTTATGTTTTTCAATATCATTGACCGTTACTATCATCATGTTGACTAGTAGAAGAATTCACCGTTTGAATGCATCTATTAAATGATTGACTGATCTCAAATGTTGATAATTAATCAATGAAGCATTTTACTAACAGATTTCATTTGAATATGAATGAATACTATAGTAAAATTTATATTAATCATAGAAACAATTCTTGACCAGTCACACACTCTACTGAAATTTGACATACTTAAAACTTTTTTTATCATTACTATCGATGAATGATGAAGTTAGTATAAAGATTTATGACTTTTCAAATTGAGTTCAAAAATTTCTAAGCATCTATTTAAACAATAAATCATACAACTTGTTCATTTCATCATCTATTTTATATAATTGAAAGTTTCGTGATTATGCTTTCGGATAACGAAATTCACAAGGTATCAGCCTTACTTCTATCGACGATTGGTAGAAAAAAAAACTCATTGACACTCTTTATAACCCGGAAGCAGTCAATATTAAATACGCTATATATGTAATAAAACTTCCTATGTGTTGATCTACGAAGCAAGTTGAGTCTATATAAATGCCATTTAGTAATTAATGAAAAAAAAATTGTTTAGGGTACGTTTGAAAGAAAACTTGAATAATAGCAAAATCATGATTATACCCTCAGTCACATTCTCAGATGATATCTTTAGTGTTAATGATGATGGTACTCAGTAACAAAAAGGTCAAAAATTCTAGATTGATTGTAACATTATACGTATTAAAGCCTAGTGTCACCTGTCAGAAGTCTAGTTCTGCTCCAGAACAACGGATTTGGTTGCAAATTTCAGCCAACATTATTGAGTTATCATAGTATCAAAGGTAAAAAAGTAGGTTCCTGTGTGATAAAGATTTCTCCTTGAATTCTAATGATATAGATTTCGGTTTAGATTTAATATATAGCGAAAATCTGCTACTACAACTGAACGAGGTCCAATAATTGAAAGTAGTTTTTCTTTACTTCTGATGAAATTTTCTCTCCAAAAAAGAAAATTCGAAAATTAGAATTTCACTACTGGAAAACCTGCATATTTTTTGTTTTTTTGTAAAAATAAGTCAACAAGAAAAACTTCGACTCTGTCATGTTTTAGAACATAGTTTTCTCTTTAATTAAAACTCTTCCGGAGCATTGTAGAACATAAAACGGTTGACAAATCTTTGTCACAAGAACAGGAAAAAATAGAAAAATGTATTTTGAGAAAAATACGAAACAAAGTTTGCACTAAGAATCCAAGTTTTTTTTCTTTATAAACCGTAAAAAGCCATAGTAAATTTAATCAATGCTATTAGACAGTGAGAACTATTTGAGCGCATGAAAATCTCAGAATTGAATTTTATTTCACTAAAACCGCATAGAGAATAGATCTTAAATTGAAGTATTATGATTAATTGTTTATAGTGTTAATTCGTTAATTTATAAATATTACAGCTAATATGAATACATATCTAACACTTTATGTTAGTGACATGCACGATAATATCAAACAACAATATAAAATCATATTTAGAATGTACGAATCGATTTCGAGGAAGCGTTTAAGACGGCAAAAAAACAAATTTTCTAATGTAATGATGTATCTTCATTATTCATATTTAAAAGTCATCTTTCTTGAAAGCAAGAGTTTAATAGCTCGAAAATGGATTTTATAACCACTAATGGACTGTAATATTTGAAAGTAATATAAATCCATACTACGAAATAGTTAAATTTGAACAATATTTAATTACAATTCATCAAGTAAAATAAACAAATTTATTATATCTACTTATCAAATTGTTTTTTGCTTTTCATTTTGTATTCAATCTTTATTTTAATGAATTCAATAGTCTATTGATTTTCTGAATTAGTTTTCTATTTTTCTACATCAAACTAATGAAATTCATTCATGATGAAATGAAAGACATTACCATTCTATTTATTTTCATCTATATGTCTCATATAAAAAAGATGAATTTCATTGATACATTCAGAGTGTATGTCGGATATAAATCTTATAATCAAAGACAACAAAATTCAATGATTTATGAAAATTTTGTATCAATATAGCAGGTCTTACACCAACACTATCCGAGGTATTCAACTAAGACCTTGTCATATATTGGTAAGAAAAATGCCAAAAGAAGTATACTGCTAATAACTTGCTCAGTATATGAGACCTTTGAATTTAATACATTTACTAGGATACTTTCCTGAATGCTTAGTATTGTCCTGATACTTCAAGATTTGTCATCATAGGACTATTTCTACATGATTATGAAGCGTTTTGTATTATTTATGTTAATCTATTTCGAAGGTTTTTGTTAAAATAGTTGTGAAATATTTGCTATTAAGAAAGAAAAATATAATGTTCATATTATATTTATTTGGATTGTTTATGAAATTTTCTAATCAATTTGAAGTAGTTTCCATCATTTTCAATTCATTGAAATTTTGAAGCAGCTAGTTTTACATTGGTGATTGTTATTGATGGTCAGATGGATCATAGAAAAATATATTTCTTATTTTTCGTTACTTTCTAATGTTTTCATCATTGAGAACCAAATGTTTTTAAATCATTATGAAATCTTCTAGAAATTCATCGGTATTCTTCAATCAAGATTGTTTCGTTTCATTTTTAAAACTTAAACATAATTTCAGCAACCTATTTAATAAAAACTTTCAAAATTTGTTTTATTTTTATATAGTTCGCTAAATTTCAAAACTCTTTTCTAATACAATGCTTAATTAATGGTTAACATATATATATGTAAATTTGGAAGAAATATATATAAAGAAAGAAAAGTCGTGACTTGAGTACTCAGCAGTAAGAGCGAAGTATTATACTTCAGAGTGGCTCTCTCAAATCTCGCATTTTTTTCCGGTTGGATATAAGACTATTTTGAAAGTTGTTCTCAATAGTTTACGAAGACTATCTTAAAGTTTTTGAGACATTAGAAGACACATTTTTTGAACAAAATAGACTAATGACAATTTAAGAAAAAAATTGATTCAAAACAATGGAAATGCTGAGAGTAAATATACATAGTTAAATTTCAGATATAATATATTATTTTTGTTGTTAATAAATTTTTAAGAGTTATTATTGAAAACTAAGTGTAGCATGAGTAACAATTAGAAGAGTAAGTGTCATCAATTTATTACAACTTTATCCACTTAGATGTAGAGTTTTTTCTTGTATAGAAATAATAAAAGAGGTTTAGCAATATTCTGATTTTTCTTACGAAATTGTCGTATTTATTTTCTTGATTTTAAAACATAGGTTGCCGCAACCTTGAATATAGTTCGGTACAAATTTGTTTGCTTACGATAATAGAATAAACTTATTTAATTAAATATATGTGGTTTTTGTATTTTATAATGATTTTTAACAGTTAATATAACATAGTTTTATCAGAACTAAAATTTATTAATTAAGATTGATGTATTATGAATTCTTCAAATATCGAATAGAGAGAAAGAAAGAAATATATTCTATTTTGAGACAAAGTAGTCTTGCATATTTATGTTTGGTTTATTAATTTAAAATTCTATGATTCATTTTCTAGTAGCTATAAAAATAGCTCTATAATTATTAATATCATTTGGGATTTAATTACGAAGTTTATAAAACAAAACTACTAATTACATTATATATATATATTATGATTATTTCAATATATATTTATTAAACAACTAAATATAGTTCAGACAAATCATAATATATTAAATATTTGTTTCTATCTACAATATATATAGATATGTTATTTGCACAAATGAAAATGTATCTATAAGGACAGACGATATTCTTTATCTATATTCTCAATATTTTATAGCACTGTCTAGAACTAATCAAGAATTTCTGCATAACATATTTATGATAGAGTTTCAAATAGAATAATATATTGATGAATTTTTCATTCTATATTGACGTAGTATTACATAATCATACGTTATATTTGATATAGTTCTATTGAAGAAAAATTTTTTGTATTTTATTTTCTGTTGGTTAATTGTTTGTTTAAAACAGCTGGTTTGTTTTTTGTTATGAATATATATGCGACTCTAAATGAAATGTATCATAAGATGGAAATGATAATAGAAAGATGTTTAATGAAGCTGATCAATCCTTGCATATATTTTCTTAGGGATGATCGAAATTATCAACACTCGTAGACATATACCATATGAATTATATATGACCAAGCATGTATATATTCTATTTCTATTTCTTTTGGCTTTCTTTTATTTGCCTTGATCTCAATTTTGCTATACAATGTTATTTATTGCCACAATTAACGTTATATCCATATGTTCTCTTCATAGATATACAAGATAATAATTCAATATAAGTCAGACAAAAGGTCAATGCCTCTATCAACTTATTTTTTGTCCTGAACGGTTTACAATCAATTTTTTATGTTCTCGTTTGACATGTCTATAAGCATATATATATCTGTGTGTATATTAATAATAATAATAATAATGAAGAAGGTCAATATAATTTATTAAAATAAGAGATTTGAGCAAAACGTTCTATTTCTTTTTCGTTCATTTTCTGATTGATACAATCATGTGGTTTTTTCCTTTTTCTTCACTATGAAATCAGATGCCAATGTTTTCTTAATAACAAAGATTTTCATACTTATTGCTTTCCTTTTATATTGATAATGACGTTTATTCACTTTTTGTTTTGTTTCTAATCGAGTTCAATAAAACGATAATACCACATTGTTCCTATATTCATGAAGGTTATTGTTCACATATAAATAAACAATAAGAATTATTAGTTTTCTCGATCTTTTCTTTTCTCGAAGTGCGTCACATCTTTTTCTATATGTCTCTCTTATTTATCTTAGTTTATATCAATCTAACGATTGGTAATTATGTATATGATGAGTACAGTTGTATATTATTGAACTGTTTTAATGTTTGTCATCACTTGTAGATTATTCTTTATTTATTGATAAGAAGGAAAAAAAAAATGTAGAATGTCATCACTCATACTTAACAAAAGAAACAATCAATACTTGTTCATTTAGTATTTTGCCATTTTTCTCTTTGATGTTTGTCTATATTTATAGAATATGGCTACTACAACTGATAACTGGATTAAATTATATCGATGGTGTCAAGAACATTTAAAATCTCATTTTGTTTCATCATCAATATTTAATAATCATCACTTATTACTTCGTCGTTCATCATTAATACCATTTCATTCAACAAATAATAATTATTCAAAAAAGATCAAAAAACGTTCTTCATATGATGAAATTGATTTACGTCAAATTGGTAACAATGATTTTCGACACGTACGTGATAGTATACGTGGTAATATTCCTCATGCAATACGAATAATATCAACATCTACATCTAAAGAAAGGTTAGTTCATAAGAAAGAAAAGACTTTCTTTCTGATTTGTCAGGCAAGGAAATTGATAAATGCATTTAAGGTTTTTCTTTGTATTTTTTGTTTTTTGCAAAACGGATATATTTTCTTTTTTTTTTGTTTCTTCTGAAATATGCATCTATGCATTTAGCGGAAATAAAAAACATGATTTGAAAAGAATTATATATATATATATAGGTTATAATGATGAACATTGACTATGTACTGAATCTACTCTAATAACATCGATAATCAGATGAAATTTATTAGTATAATTCATCAATTGAATTTACAATAGAAATTTCTTTTAGAAACAAAAAGAAGGGATTGTATTAATTAATATAATAGGATTTTTCCTTTTTTTTTTTCGAGCAGAAAAAGAAAAAGGAAAATTCTTATTATAATTAAGAAATAGAAGAATTTTTCTCAATACTCATCTCATATCACGTTCAATGATCTACATATAGAACATTGTTCGATTCATAGTTAGCTTTTTTATTCTGTACAGTAATATTATTTAATAGAACAAGGTAATAAACAATATTAACATTATGATATATATATATGATTATATGCATGTGTCAGTCGAAAACCTAATGTTTTCGAAGGTTTCATTAGGTTTGCTAATTATCTAGGTAAGCTATAAACCTTGATTAAAAGTCTAGTCATTTGACTTTTATCTTAGCTATGCACATGTTAAGATAAATCCCTTGATATATGTATAAAATGGCATGTAGCATCTGTCGATTTGATTGAATGTCTAAAGAGTGACGTAATTGATGATTGAAAGTACATATTGCCTTGATGCAATGATTAAACAAAAAAAAAAAAAGAAGAAGAAGAAAACCTTGACTTATCGACACAAACTGATATCGATCTTATCTTAAAGTGAAGAAAAACGATTACGTAGTATTGTATATTTCTATATTCATAAAATATAGAATTATTTCTAAAAATAGTTCTTAAACAATAAAGATAATATACTGAATAACTCTAATTTCTAATCTATTATATCATATTGATATTTCATACAAAAGAAGAATATATTTTTGAAAACATCTATAGCATAAATAATGAGAAAAAAAAGTGGTTAATTTCAATAAACCACATGTATAGACATATACAGATGCTTTGCTTTTTTTCGACAATATAAACATCAAAATATAACTGATTGATTTTTTTTTTCTGTTGTTGACATTGTTAATCAACTATTAGACCGTTTTAGACTAACCTTGATATTCAGAAGTTTTATAGATTAACCGAGAAAAGTAGAAAAATAATTTCTTTGTTTGATAATGTTCGTTACGACATTGTATTTCACGCATTTCATCAATAACGATACTTTAATTAAGACATAGAATAATAAATTTCTATGAGTAATCAACATTTCATCACTTCTTCTATTGAATACTTTTTTTTTCCCCTTAATGAAAATGCACACATATATATATTAGAATGAATTATAAAGTAGTGTCGATATATTATAGTTTTCTAATTCTATCAGTCTATTTTTTAATGAAAATCATAGATAGCAAGGTTTGTCTGATGTGTTTTGACAAAAGTACATGTATTAAAAATGACAATAATAAATTCTATTAAGTAGATATTTGATGAGAACTTTTCTTTTTTTCTTGAGAAAAAATTTAATGTTAATCATCATGCACTTGTATTTCATAATCAAAAATAGTCTATATAGTTATATTATGTAAGAGAGATGTGTGTTTCTCTTCTTTTCTCTTATTTTTTGATCTTGGAACGGATTCTTTTTTTGTGTGCATACAACAACATATTTCCTTCATTAGGATAAAAAGAAAAATAATTTCTTATTAAAATTTGTTTATTTCGTTCGTACATATTTATGTTATCGATTTATTGGAAATTAATTTCTTATTCATAATTGTTTTCCTATTAATATGTACTTTAGTTTATTGTTTAAATAATTGATGAACATTATTATATCGAATGTATTTATAGATGAAACATAATAATTAAAGAAAATAATCATTTGATATAATAAATTCCTTAGAAAAATATCCCATAGATTTTTCTCGTTTTCTTTTTCCTTCTATTAAATATGAAGATTTAGAATGATAATATTGAGAGATCTATTACTAAATATAAAATAAAACAAAAATATGTAAGTATAAATTTTCGTTTTCATTATTGATATTCATAAGTGTTAGATTCAAGATATAATATTTTTAAGGTTAGTTCGTTCTTTTTTTTTTTTGTTTTTTTCCTCTTTTATTATTTTTTGATAATTAATTCAATTTATAGATTAATATAAAATATATCGAAAATTTTGTCTTGAGAGACATTGTTTTCAACTAATGTGTTAACAAATATGAATAAGCACTCTTTTGATCATTACAATGATTATAATTATAATTTGTGAAGTATTTCAGATAAAAGCTATTTATGATGAGTATCATTTTTTGATATTATTCATTGAAGTGTTCTTAAAAGACTTCTTCTAGAAATACATTATTACTGAGAATCATTCTATTTCTTTTTAGTTGATAATGCATCCATTTACATATTGGAAATTTGAGTTAACGCTAATAGAAACAGATGAAACTACATAAAAAATGACAGGTGTTTACAAGAATATGACTTGTTCTTTTAACATAATTTCATTGAATCCGTCTTGTATTTTTTTTTGTCCCATTTACGTCACAGACGGATTCTATCTATATATATATGGAGGCAATGATCTGTATTTTTCCTTTAGATATATATAAGAAAAGTACTTTGGTCATCATGACACTCGTAGGTATTATTGTTAAAAGATACACTCATATTCTTCTTACTAGTCGTATGTGAATCTCTTCTTTTTTTTTTTATACAATTATTGAAATTGATCTAATAGAAAGACATTATGTTATTTATTCGATTAAATGAATAACATCGTATCCAAAAAAACAAAAAAAAAGATCGATTTATTATCCATAAGTTAATATCATATATAGAATAACCAGATAGACATAAGATATTTGCTATTAATCTTCCTTCGAATAGGTTTTCTTTTTTCTATATTAAGACAAGAATAAATAATAAGTCAAAGATTTTTATTGAATTCGTTAGCGACGTAACATCGCAAACTTAGAATATGCGTATATCGGTTAGTGTAGGTGTGATTTTTGCCTATTGTACGAGTCGCTATTTACTCTAGATGCCATGAAAAAATCAACACTCTACAGCTTTGTGCAGAGGAGTTATTAATGAAAAACTAGCGTTAGTGGCGTGACACTAAAAAGGACATCAACTGTCATTTGATATAACTTGGGTTTTAAAAATTTCCAAGTGTTTCACAATTGCCGAAAACTTAATACACGACTCCTAAGATTACGAAATCTCGGTGTAAAATTATTTTGAGCATGTCTAGCTTTTTCAAAAACTAAAAATTTATTCAGGGTAAGTGACGTGACTGAGTACAACTTCACTACCGATCAAACGCTCTGGTAACGAATTGAAAAGTTCGAAATCAATTCCAAGAAGCTCATGTCAATGGTAGGAATCCCTAGAATAATACTAAGAGAAACGTTTTCATTTCAGCTGTGTCTAAAGGCTTTGAAAGGTCGATTTTTCGTAAAGGAAATTTTTTTGTAGTCCGATCTCGCTGAACTATATTCGCTAATTATTACCTAATTAATAACTATGTGAAAGAGCAGACAAATTTACATAAGCCTATGCAAAAACAATTCACCTATACTAATAGAGAATTACATTCAAATACAACGGGTGAATGTTCCGTATTCGCTGATTTAATCCATATACAGATTGTGTATATGATTAGTAGTTGATTCAATGATGTAGAAGTATGTTTGCATGATGCAGTCATTGAGATTTAATGACAATGATGTTGTCTAGTTAACTGAAAGTTTATCTTTCTTTTCTTATTAATTCAACTTCAGTAAGCGTGAGAAAAAAAAAAAAAAATTCTTTGACCATGGAATAGTTTTTTTTTGTTTTAATCATCTAATTTTATATACTTAGACATCAAGTTAAAAAACTAACTACGTATAATAAATCATCAGAAGAAATTTTATTTTATGAAAATAAATTTATGTCTTCGAAATTACCACCAATGAATAAAAAACGTACTAATAAACTTCGACGTTTTTCACTTGCTAAATTTGAATTATCAAGTGTGAATTCAAATGGAACAAAAGGTTTTTAAAAAAATATATATTTTTTTTTTCGTTTTAATGATTATGTTTTCCTTTTTTTTTTTTGAAATTGTAAAGCTGAACAAAAATCAACAACTTCATCTAGTAATCGTAATATTATTCAAAAATTACTTTTTCGACAAATTAATCCTAAAACTCGACCTTGTACAATGGGAACTTCTGTAAAGAATTTTCTTTTTTTTTTAAATATTATTTCCTTCTAGTTTTTGTTTTTTATTAATTTCTTTTTTAGCCTGATGATAATATATCTACACCAAAAGTACCAAATGAAACACCCACGTAAGACTATAACAATCTTTTAAATAATCTAAAAATTGATTCTACATATTAATTATCTTTCTAAATGTCATCATTATTGGATTAAACTAATAACAATTTTCAAGATAGATATAATTATGCAAAAGAGACTAAATCTTAAAAAGATTAGTTCTATATGAGATAAGAATTTCAATGATTTTAAATTATAATGAAATTGTTGTTCACCTCGTCAGACTTGACATTAACAAGAAAAAATAAAGTGAACATAATTTTGTCTTTTTAAATTCATCTGAGAGAATATTCAGTAACCCATTCAAGAAAGAGTAGAACGAAAATATTCTTCTTTTGACTACTTTGTAGTATAGACTGTTGCCTAGTGACAGATTTCAACAACTGATACTAGCTGTAATTCTAGATAGAGAAACAGCCTGATGCAGAGCTTTTGCACATCCCGTACACAATGGTTAATCATATAATAGTCACTAGAGCGTGGATATATCACAATTTAATCAGCATGCTATCAGACGAGTAATTTACAACAAAAAACTGTTGATGACTTATTAGAATCATTTCATGGCTGATAGTACCGAGATTGGAATAGAGTATTTATTGGATACATGTCGAAGAACGGCGCCAGTCAGTCAAGGTAAACTAATTCAAGGAAATTAAAATAAAATTGAATTCGTTTTTTAGAATTGATCATTCAAAGTAAAAATACGATGAATTCTCTTTTGTTTTGTTGTTCTGGAATATCTGTTGAATAATTTTGCTTACAATACGAGAAAATCTTAACAAATTACTTTTGTGATATCAAAGAACACATTCTAATTTAGTGGCTTTTAGGAAAAATATAATATTCAAAAAACTATTGCATTCTATATAAATCTATCGATTGTATGACATCAATCGCTCTAGAATATTTAAGATTTTTCGATATGAAATCTACTTTGCTAGTTGACATCGTTCAGTTTTTCGTGGGCGTTGACTCAAAGTGAGATCTGAGATACTTTTCAATCAACTAAACTGAATATCTTTTCAAAAGATTAAACATTCTTCTGTTTTTTTTTTTTTGATAAATGCAAAACGAGTTAGTTCTTTCAAATTTCAACAGAACAAAATCATTATCTCATTTAGAGTTCTTTCTCTATCTCATTTGAAATTCAACATCCATCAAATAATTATGACACAATTTAATTCATGTTTGTCAGAATTTCACTTGAGGCCAAAAATATGTTTCAACGAAATGACCCGACCCAAGTCGATACTCTAACCTTTGATCTATGAACAACAACATGTTTATAATTTAATAATTGTCAAAGAAATAATTCACTGAAAGAAGTTTATTAACTTAAGCAGAAACTATAAATCATTTATAGATGAATAATAAATGATAAATAAAACTATTCTAGTAAATTAGATTCATCTATTCATTTTATCATATATTTTGTTATTCAAAAAAAAATGTTTATACGAATAGTTTCTATAATACACATTGATAGTTAAGTTCATTTTCAAGTTTATATTATATCTATGAAATTTATATAATGAATTATAAACTAATAGGATATTATTTTAGTTAGATAGGACATGAAATTTTATATATTCCGGATTCGTATTTCTCATATTCTTTGTTAATATAAATTATAATGAGAATATACATATATTATTTCAAAAATATTAAGATAATAATAATAATTTAAAACTTAAATAAATTCTATAAACTTTAAAAAAGAAAAATAGAAAAATTTTTGTTTTTCTATTTTTTTTTTTGAATTAGTAATCTTCGAATGGCTAGTCCCGCACGTTTAAAACAATCTGGAACTAGTTCATCATCTCTTAATACTTCTAAACCAAATATTCGTCATGGAAGAGAACTTTTACCATCATCATCAACACCTTACAATGTAATATCGAAAAGTCATCAATCGGATTTAAATGCATATTTATCTAAACGTCGTAATACAACAGGAAGTATATCACTTAATAAAATAGTTGATACTAAAAATACATTAAGTGGAAATACTTTATTAGCAACAGCTGTTAATGCATTTAATAACTCAAATAATAAAATATCAATTGAAAGTAAAAATAATTTTATTTTTTCATTTATATTTTTCTATAATAATAATTATAATAATTTCAAATTTTTTTTGTTTTTAAAGAAGATATTTTTCAAACAGTCGAAGATTCAGATTTTCTTCTAACAAAACAATTAATTGAAACAAATGAAAATATTGTTAATTCGTAAGTCAAATTTTCTAAATTCTATTTCAAAAAATGTTTCGTTTTTTTAATTATCTTTCTTTTTTTCTATATTTAGATATAATGAATATGATTGGCGTCCATTAGATAGTGCTATAATGCTTAATAATATTCTAATGATACAACTTCTTTTACAATATGGTGCTGAAGAAAGTCCTAAAAGTATGTTTAATCTTTAATAATTTTATAAAATAAAATATCAGAATTTTTTTGTTTTGTTTGAAAAGTTCAATCGGATAAATCACGTTATCAAAGTATTTTTCATCAATTATCAATTCTTAGTGAACAAAGTTCTGATGATTCGATTAAAAAATCTTCATCAAATAAATTAGCACCTGATGATGTTCAAGTAGGATTTTATTTATTTTTTATATGAATTAAAAAACAAAAAAAAGAAATAATTGTTTGAAATCTATTTTGAGCATTTTATTTAATTCGAAAGAATTTTTTCAAATTTTTTATTTGTTTGAATTAGAGATTTTTATTGAACTCAATTTTTATATTTACTAGTATTATGGATTTGTTATTTATAGACACTAGATAAGTCTTATGCAAATTATAAGACAACTGAAGTTATTTTCATAGGAAAAATTTATTATGTAGTTCAATTTAAAAGAATTATTCAAGTGGAATCTAAAAAATAACACCAGATTAAAGTCATATATGTACTGTAAAGAGAACTTCAATGTTATGCTCGTCTATTTTTCTAACCCAAATTTTTTTTGTTTTTCTATAGCCATTATATTAGTCTGAAATAGTCTCTACCACCTACTGAGTACATTTTCAGATTCAGAAATTGTCCTAAAGTTTTAAAAAATCAAACTAACGAAATCAGTATATTGTTTCGTGTTTTTCTTAAACAAATTTTTCATAAAAAAATTGTAATCACTTCCTTATTTAATAAGTTCGATCGATCAGATAATGTTTTCAGATAGATAGTTATTTTTTATTTGAAAAAATATAGTTCTATTGAATTTTGGTAGCTCTTAGGAAAAAGAACTACATTCAAAAAACACGTATTTTTTAGAGTCTCTTCAATATTTTGCGTTTTTTATTTAAAGCGCAAGAAATAAAAAGATATCAACCCTAAACAGTATTTAGTGCCTCTTAGAAAAAAAAACAATTTTCAGTTCGATTGAACAAAGCATTATATCAATCATCTATATATCGAGACCTATTAGACTAAATATTAAATTAAAGTTAGAAAATAGTTTTTAATCTCTAAAGTTATCAAAAAAAAAAAAAAAGAAAACAAGCATATATTCATTAATTTTCTTTGATAAGTCTCTGACACACCTTTAAGAAAACAAACTAGATTGATATCATAGGCAATGTCATCAAATGTACTTTGATTAATATATTTGATGCTTGAAATATGAAACAATTAATCAATGTTTATTTTTAGTCGCGTCGTTCATCACCATTAAGTGATAAACAACAACGTTATCGTCGTACAAGTAAAAGTCAACAGCAACATCAATACAATCAACAACGTTTATTAACATTAACACAAATGAAAGATAATTACGAACAAGCAGGTAAATATCACAAGATATTAAATAAAATGACGTCGTTGTTTTATATTTCTATTGAATCTCAAAAAATATAATTAGATTCGTGACAAATAAAACTGAAAGAATTTTCTGTCGGGTAGTAAATACGAGAAAGTAAATGATGAGGTACTATTGCGCTATTAAAATTAATCAATCTACAATCTTTTTTTATGCACGCGAAGTACATACATTTGTGAAGATTCTTTTTTTGTTTTTGTCTTAAATGGAAGCTGGAAAAAAATTTCGTTCTTCTCTCGTAACTGTTAAAATTGCAGTTCGACTTTTAATAGAATCTAAACGAAAAAAAAATCTTGAATTTTATAATCAAAGATGTAAGTTTATTAATATTAATAATAAAATTTTATATAAATTTTAATTAAGATGTTCCTGATGCACCAACAAATGTTCGTTTAATGGTTACTGGTTCAGATAATATAACTGTAATATTTGATGAACCATTAAGATCTAATGGAGCTATGGTTATTAAATATAAAAGTAATATTTAATTATTTTAAAATATTATTATTTTAATATATATTATAACTTTTTCAATATTAGTTGAATGGAGTACAGATGAATATTTTAATCAAATATCATTTGATATAATTAAAAATTGTTTTCTAAGAGAATATATTATTCGAAATTTACCTGTTGGACAAAAATGTTATGTACGAGTATCAGCTGGAAATATGAAAGGTTTTGGTGAAGCAAGTATTGCTAATCCACCTTATTGTGTTCCATCAAGTATGTTTTATGATATTATTTATATATATATATTTTGATTTTTATTAAGATTGGCGAGAATTTTCTAAAACATCGCGTACAAATATTTATGATTTACGTTTTGAAGAAATTTTAAATAAAATTTTTAATGAACGACAAGGTAATGGAATTAATAGATCATTCGAAGGAAATGGTAAGTTTTGTTTTTGTTTTTTTGGAAGAGAATATTATGAACGTATTAATAAATAGATTTATCTGATACAACAAATCGAAGAAATCCTCGTCGAAGTTATGGAAATCTTCGAAAAAATCTTCGACAATTATTTCAATTTTATCCTCGATTAGCAAAAACAATAAAACGGTATGAATTTCTATTAAAAAAAAAATAATAAAATTAATTTATGTTGTTTTCTTTTTTTTTGTTTAGAGGACTTTATTTAGTATCAGTTATGTTAAATAATGATCGAATATTAGTAACAAATGAAGATGTTTTACCAATGGTTGAAGTTGATGAACATTATAGTCATAATCTATTAACAGATTTTCAATGGTTTATGAAATTAACATTTGTTTGGGATGATTTAAAAAATTTACGACCTAAATTAGAACGATGTTCAAGTGCAACTTCATTTTATTTAAGAATGAAACTTGTTCAAGCAGCTATTGAACTTCAAGTAAAATAGAAATTTCTATTAAGCTTTTCTAAATTGATTATAATAAACTGTACAACTAGAACCAATTAAGAATACCCTCTTCCTATTTTTTTTTGACTATTCCTAAGAGAAAACTCTGGTATGTCATAAGACTGCATCCTGGTACATTATGACCCATGTCAAACTCTAATATTTCAGCTTGATGAGGCAAAGTAGGTAGAGAGAGAGAGGTCATGACCAGTCAAAATTGAGAAAATTAATGATTTGCGTTATACTAAGTAAAAGTTGTAACTCTGTCGTATTAAGCTGTTTAGTGTCGAATAATGTCTCTAGTGGTACATAGCATTTGAGTTTATCTTACCATATAGTCTCAACGAAATAGACACTTCGCACATCTTACTTGGTAATACAAGTCATTGATTATCTAGAACATCAATAGTGTCTTGCTTAAGAAGATGCAAACTAGCTTGTGAGTAAAACTTTGTAGAGTCAAAAATTTTGATTCTATAATGTTTTTTTGATTAGCATATATACTTGTCTTGATGTTACTTACTTTTTAGGATGTCTCTCTGATGTTCCTTCGCCTTGAAACTTATGAATTTATACTGTAGTATATTTTCAGTTAATTATTTAACATAAGAAAAACAAATTTATTATTTTGTAAGATTAAAAATAGTTGACTGTTTTACTGAAATAATTCGAACATTGACTTTCAAAAAAAAAATTTTTCCCGATCACGACGAATCCGTCAGATTTTATTTATAGAGTCTTCAATATACATGCTTCTTTTTTTTTAGCAAAAATGATTTGCATGTTATAGACAGATTTATAGATCATATCTTCAGTTGTCATGCTATGTGTTTCAATAAGAATTTATTCTTCTCGATTATCCCTTCTTTCAGATTCGAAGAATATATATTAACTTTCACGAAAAGTTTACTTCGGACATTTGGATAAGTCCTTTGTTTTTACATATAAATCATTTTTGTTTTTTTTTTGAGAAATGTTATGATAACTTATTGTGTTCAATTGAATTATTAATTTAATATAATTGTCTAAACTGTTTAGACATTAGAAGAAGTAAATAATCTTGGTCGTCTTCATCATACATATATTCGTGATAATGATGGTAATGTAGTATTTGTATTAATAAATGATTTATCTTCTGATACACGAACAAATATTTATCCATCAAGTTTAAAATGGATGACAATGACAAAATTTTTTGAAATAATGAAAGAATCTCCATCATTAACAAATAATTCTTGTCTTCAACAAATAATTGAAAAACTTCCAGTATGAAAAAAAAAAGAAATTTCTTTGTTTTGTTTTGTTCTATACATACAAATATTTATTTTTTTAAAGGATATGGTTGAATTTTATCATGCATCAATGCGTTGTCATGATTCTGGTTTATATGTTGCCTATTTAAAAATGCAAAATAGTGTTGATTCAATACGTGTTATGGTTAATAAATATATGCCCGGTTCATTACCATGTACAAAAATTCGTTCTATAGCTAATGTATCTAGGTAAACTATTATTTATATTGTTTATTAGAAAAAAATTTTTTTTTTTAAATATTTATAGAGAAGAATGGGAATGGTTACATAAAAGTAATAAGGAAAATTCAGTAGAAGATGAATCTCCAGATAATAGTCTTGATTTATTTAAAATTCAATTTTGTAATGCAGCTAAAGAATTATTTATTATGCTTGGTAAGATTTTGAAAAAGAATCAAACAAAAAAAAAAAATATTTTAAAATAATAAATTTATTTAGATCTTCCTGAAACACATTTTTCAAATAGTCGAATATATAGTTCACAAGTTGTTGAAATTCGTGATGATTTATCATTAATTATTTTAATGTCAACAGCTGATGAAGTTAATTTTCTTTCTAAACCATCAAATCATTCTCTTACATCATTTATTTATTTACCTATATATATATTTGAAGTTTGTAAGTATTCATTTAACTACAGAGAAAAGCATATTATTAAATTTGTTTATCAAACTTCATTGTAAAGTTAGAACAAATCGAAAATCGTACAAATATTATAAATGATATTTTGATGTATAGAAAACTACATTCTCAAAAACTTTTTTCAAACGATTTCTCTTAATGTATTTTTTTTCTATCGCAAATAACAATCCTAAACGATGAACTTTGTCAATGTAAAGATTGCCTAATCATCTAGACGTTCTAACAAGCTTCAAGTACAAAAAAATTAAAATTTTGAGCATAATTCAAGATCCAGTGATCCTATTTTGAGATGAAATCTCAGTAAAATGATAATATCTTCGGAAGAACATTTGAAATATTTTTATTCTGATTAAGATCTAGTTCTACTTGTCGACTCTCTCTCTTGAACTCTATTTTAGCATTCAATACTATCTCATATTTTTAAATTTTCATTTTAGTCCAACACTTAAGTAATAATTATCGTTTTATATGTCAATATAGTCGTGTATCAATATGTCTTGATTTTGAATTGATATATGCTCAACAAAATCAACGTGAAGCATTTTCAATAAATGAATTAGATGAAACACGTTATCGTCTTAATCATTTATTATCATGTCAACAAGATCTTGATGATATATGGCGTTCAACACGTTGGCTTGTTCATGTTATAAATTGTGCTAAAGATAAAACATATTCTGGTATATCACTTAAACCATTTCAATCATCAACAAATTTAAATGAAATAAAAATTGATCAATCATCATCTTTAATATCATCATTTAATTCAAATAATTATTTAATAAAGAAAAAAATAAATAATTTTATTGATATTGAAGATCATATAATTGAATTAACATTTTATAGATCATTAGTAACACCAAATACATATATTCCATTAAAATTACGAATAAATAAAATGACACGATTAAATGAAATTTTAAAACTTATTTTAAAACAACAACAAAAAGATACTTTTTTAAAATCAAATTCATCATTAAATTTTGTTTGGATACGTTCAAATGAATGTGAATATATTATTGAAGAAAATTTAACAGCATATGAACTTCAAACACGTCTTTTACGTTTTGGTGGACAAGTTCATATACGTACAAATAGTTCATCATCATCAACTTCATCACCAATGATTCATAAAACATCAAGTTTATTTCCACCTACATCAGAAATTATGTCGAAAGGACCTGGATCAAGTTTAAGTTTGAACATTTAAAAACAAATATTTGTTTTCTTTTCTTTTTTTTTTTATTTAAAATATCAATAAATGTTATGTGATATCATTTGAAGTGAACAAGTTACTAAGAATTTCAGAACATGTCTGTAAGATTTTCGTTCATATGTCTAAAAGGAAAATGAACAATGAGTATATTTCTTATTTTAAATTGAAATACGTATTACATTATTATTCTATACAAGACTGATTAAATATTTTCATATTTGTATCAGAATGTATTTCTGATTGATATTTATTTGTGTAATTGACAAAGATTCAAAAGAGATCGAAATATCATTTTTATTAGCAAAAGAGAATCAGATGAATGAGTCAATGTAAAACACATAAGTTAATTCAACTTTGCACTGTTAATAAACAGCGAGTATGATGAATGAAGAAACCGATATTTTTCGTATTATTTAAGAGACAGGACTAACTTGACCAAAAGGTATTGAGAGTGTTACATCTTCCAATCATGAGAAGTTTTTACTTTTTCCTAGCGGAACCGAAAGTTTTCTTGCGTTTTCTTAGAAAAAAAAATGCTTACACTCTTGAGAAAAAATCGCGATATCGCTTCCCCCAACAATGTTGGCTGCTATGAGTCAATTCTGTTTCGAGTTTATGTAACAGTGCAGGTTTTGAAAGTCAAATTCATTGCTGATAATGTCTTCTGATTGATTTTGTCTGTTTATGGTTTCATAACGATTATTTTTTGAAAATAGAGATTTGTTATTATCATTTATAAAAGATGAAAATCATTATTTTTGTTCAAAAATTTTTATCAATTCTTAGCATTTTATGAAAAAAACATATGAATATACAAAATCACAAGAATTTATTGAATTCTAGTGAAATTTCTATTTCTCAGTCTGTTCAGAACCTTTATATTTCGGTAATTTAAAACTTCATGGAATGAGATAAAATTTTGCATATTTATTTTGATAAAAAAATTATTTTAATGATGTTCGATCGTACGGCAAGGAACCAACAGAAAGCATTGACAGTTTAAATTACTTACATATATCATTATTTTACGTATTCTTTATATTAAAATCGAGGCTATTCTAATGGATGTTACAAAAATTCTACATTAGAGTTTTGTTTTCAGTATAGCATGACAACAACAACTTGTCGTGGAGGCTTGATAGTTTTCTTGTTAGAAAGAATAAAGTCTCTATTACAAAGCTATGTAAAAATATTTCGTTCAAATACTTACCGAAGGTTGAAAACTTTTAAAAACACCTTTAAAATTAGTAATGAGAAGTGTATTTGATCAATTTATCTGGCATTCGGCTTTCAAAATTTTTAGACACATTATGCATAAATGTAGTCAATGCGACGTAGGCTTTCTAGTGATATTATTATATCCGAGTTACAAAACCAGAAACTCCATAGAAAATAGTTTTATTAAAAACTTGATTTACCTTTGACAACGTTCAATGAAGTTTTTCTCATGATGTCTAATAGGTTCTGACTATTCTTTCGAAAAAATCAAATAAAAAGAAAATATATTCTGTTACTCAATCATTAATATTGCGTCAAGTTAATTTGAATAATTTATCAAAAGGTTGAGCAAAAATCTATGGAATTTCTTTTGCTTTTTTTAGTTTTGTGATATGTTTATTATGGATTACATATTCGTACGCAAAAGAGATAAAAATCTATGTTCATTTTTGAATTTGATTATTTCACTAGTTTTTTTTTTATAAAAAAAATTGAATTATTGTCATTTATTATTGATACAATCTATTTGTTATGAGTTTACTATACTAATTCAATTATTGATAAAATCAAAAATTAAACAATGAAAAAACATTGATGACTAATATTAAAATGAGATTAATAGTTATACAGTTGTAATTAGAATGGAATAAATAATGGTAAACTGAGACCCATTACACGGATCTTTTTGAGTATATATATATATATTGAAGACCAGTATCACGTGATAACGCGGGCAATGTTCATTTTCCTCAATCATTCTATGCATTTATGAATTTTTCATTTCATTATGTTTGTACAAAGTGATAACTGTGGTTATCAATTAATTGTCATGATAACGTTCGAATTTTTAAAAAAGAGATGACTTCTAAAAATATGTGTTCGCTAATAATCTATTGTATTCATTCATAAAAAACTGAAATTAAAAATCAAATATTGAATAAGAAAACATAAATTCAATAGAACTCTGGAAAATTCTCCTGTCATTTACAGTACGTGCAAAGGTTTACTCTTTATGTAATAGGTGATAAAATGAAAAGTTTGTTAGTCAACAGTACTTTGATAATCAATACTCAAACTTCATTATAATAGTTCGGCTGAGCATCTCGGTATACTAACGCATGCAATGTGTTTTGCTTGAAACAGGATCGATACTGCATTATTTTCTCAGTATTCCTCAGAGAAAAGTCATGGATTTTTTTCTCATCAAAAAAACATAAATATGACTGACTGTATGCATAGCTTTTATTTTACCTTGTCAATCCAAAAATGTAAATATTTTTTTGTTTTGAATTTCGATTGTTTCAGATTTTTTGTTGCCAGACATAAACACTCATCAGAAAAATAATATGAAAGAAAAATAGAGAAATCTCTAACGAAAGATACTGTATTTGTTTGAGATCATGTTCTATCAATTCAATAATGTATTTTATAAGAATGAAATAGAAACATACTCATATAGTTGAGGTTCTCTTTTGCTGCAAATTCTTTGTTTTGTATTTTTCAGTTAATTGATGATACTTGTTTGATTTTTTCTTTAGTATCATTGATAGGATCACACTCAGACGAAATCAAATTTTTATTTATTATTCTTTAAGTTCGATACCATAATCATTTTATTTTGAATATAGTGAAAATGATTTTCTTAATAACAGATGTATCTTTATAAAACTTATTTTTTTATTATGTTGGAGCAAGATATAACTAATTATGATAGCTAGACAGAAGATCTCTTTTCTTATTGCAGTCGGACTTTTTTGCCATCTATTCTTCGCAGAAAAACAAGGTATATCATAAAACAAAAGAAAAAATTCCTATTTTAATAAATTATTCATTGTATCTGATTAAATCATTTGTAGATATATAAAATAATCCACATTTAAAAAGTCATATCATCTTATTATTCAATATTTAAGGAAAGGACAATGTCAGCTGACGAACTTAGTATCAAAGAATCAAGTGAACTTTTGTCAGCGGCAGATCGAATGCGTGAAATATAGATACCTTTACCAGAAATTGTAGTAGTTGGTGATCAATCAGTCGATAAATCATCTGTACTTGAAGCTATTTCTGGAATTCAATTACCTCGTGCACCAAATATTTGTACACGATGTCTATTAGAATTACGAATGAAATCAACAACAGATACTGAATACGCTATCATTCGTAGTAGTAAATGCTCGGAAGATGAAGCTACAACTTTAGATGATATGAATGAGATAAGTAGTGCAGTTACTCGTCTGATTGGAGAGATTGCTGGTGAAGAAACAAATGTAAGTTCAACATCGATCTATTTGATAGTGTATAAACGTAATATACCATATGATTTAACACTTATTGGTTTACCCGGTATTACTCGAAAACCATTTCCTGGCCAAGCAAAAGATATTCATGAACACATTTTGCATTTGATTAATAGATATATAGAACCACCAACAGCTGTAAGTTTCTTCATTTTAAGTTGAATCGTTTTAAGATTTCTAAAAGTATTTAGGTTGTTTTACATGTAATTCCAACTTCTATTGATTTCACAACATCAGAATCGATGAAATTAGCTAAGGAATTTGATCCACAATGTCTTCAACAATTAATTGCTGCTTCAATAATTGATAAATATGATAAAGGATACTTTTTCACTGTTATTTTCAAATAATGTGTCCTGTGAGTTTCCTAAAGTCGAAATTTGACGAAAATTAGTTTTGACGCTGAAACATATTCTTTGATGTGTCGCTTTTTGTATTGACTCTGAAAGTTATATTTATTTCTTTTGGAACTGAAGCTATGATCGTGAAAATCTCTGAACATGAACCTTTGTTACGACTTTTTTGCTATGACATCGAAAAATAAATACGAATAAATTTTCTGAGCTTCACTAAAAAAAACAATGTTTGAAAATATCAAAAACACTTTTTTCACGCTTCGAATTGTCATCACTTCACCTGAGTCATTTCTTAGGCAACTCCACAATTTCTATTCAACAAGAACTAAAAGAGAAATATAAATTCTGTTGAAATTTTGTATTGTTGACGCAAATAACATACACTGTAAATACCTTTAAATTCGAATATCTCAGTTTGTACATGTTATAAGCAGTTCAGAATTAAAATTTATTAGTTTTCTCGTGAGATCTTTAATTTAACCTAACTATGTGCAATGTTGTTAAGTTATAATATATTTTCTTCCATTGTAAATTAATATTTGATACATCCGATTTTAGAAACGATTTCCTTTCGAGTTGTTTGATGATAACAAATTTTTTATTTTAGCAAATCTTTTAAATTGTTTTCAAACATCTCCTAATTCAGATCTTCACGAATAGTTTAGTAAACTTTTTAATAAACTAAAAACAAATAATAATCTAAAAAAATCCATCGATCATAGCTTCTTATCCTTTCGATTGGTATTAATAATATCGTTGTGATCGTCTTGATCTAAGATATTGATTACTATTAAATATTGGTATTGTTGTTGTTCTAAGCGTTCTACTAACAGTTTGACTTAAGAAGCTACCTATGTCATCAGGTAATGGTTGTATAAGTTCAAAAAAATACGAATTAATTTGTGCACCCAAAATAAGAATAAATGAAAAGTAATAAAAAAATGTTATTAAAATAACAGCAAAGCCAATAAGACCAAGAAATGAATCCATAAATCTTCGAATATATAATGGAAATAAAACAATAAATATATCAAGTAGAAATGATGCAATTAATGCACCAAGCCAAATATGTTTTAATTTCATTTTTTTATTTGGTATAATTAAATAAATAAACATAAATAAAATAAAGGCAAAAACAATTGATACAGATATTCCAGCAACAAATATTCCAAATTGTGTATCATTTTTATTTGGTAATGCATTTATTACAAATGATGGTATACTACTTGCAACAAACATAATTATAACAAGAAATATAAATAAAATAAGCATTATAATAGATAACAAATTTTGATAAATAAATGAACGACTTGTTGTACGATAAATTATTGTAAATACATCATCAATAGCAACAAATAAACGAGATCCATCCCATATTGACAATATAATACCTATTGCTAGAATTCCACCTGCATCATTTGCAAGATTGTTAGCAGCTATTTCAGTTACCTTAAATTATTTATAATATTTTTGAAAAAAATTTTATAGTTTGTATTTTGCTATACCTCTCGAACAGCTGTTTTTGTATGATTATCTTTTAATGAATCGATAATTGAATCAATAATTGTTTGTTTAGCTCTAGGATTATCACTTAAAACAAGTCCAAATATTCCAAAAGCTGTTACAGCTATTGGTAAAAGAGATATAATGAAAGTATAAGCAAGTAGTGCAGCAAAACTCAATGACCAGTCATTAAGAAATTTTTTAATAAAACCCAAAGCAGATCGACGAGGAGGTGTTGTTTGACCAAAACCAATACCTCGTTGAATTGGTCTCCATAAAGAATTTAACATTTTTTGATTTTGATCAAACATTTGCTTAATTACTTCTACAAGAAAGACAAGTATCTATCGTGTTGCTATTTCCACCCACTATAGAAAATAAAAAGAAAAAAAAGTCATTAGATCTTAGTCATATGGTGTCTTCTTTTTTTTTTTTACCTATACTGCTTTATATGAAATATTCAGAATCATTACGCTTGAAAAATGACGAAGGTCTCCTTATGAAGTAACCAACAAGAAACGGAACTACACTTCACATATGTACACTGCCCCAATGAATCAGATAATGTTCACATAAAGATTTCTCTTTCTTTCGTTAGATCAAATGATAAAAATTTTATGATGCATAACATATATTCTAGAAAATAATTTTTTTTTTATAACATCATATAGAAAATCTAGGAATACTGGAACATATGATTAGCTAATTATGCCACGATTTATATATATTAATTAGTAAATCAAATAAATAATCATCTGATAAGACAATAAGAAACAGAAAACATCGTTCTGCTCATAAATATGATGAGGTCGATGGTAAACATTCATATTCGATGCCTATAAAAATGATTGATTAGATCGATTACGTCTAACTTACTTCTTTTTTTTTTCATTACCACAATCGTAGGTTAGAAAATCGTTAAATTCTGATGATTGATTCATACTGTATGAACTGTATATTTTTCTCGATATTATCATATATAATTAATCTTTTGTATGACATGAAATTTTTCTAATTTGATAATATGTTACTTTTATGATCATGTTCATTGAAACTCATATCTACACCAATATCCAAGAAAAGTTATTGAAAATAATTTCATAAAAACAAAAAACAAAACTACAGTATAAAAAAAGAACAAAAACTTGTCAGTGCAGTTTCATAAAGCAGCAAAGTTTGGAACTCATAAACTCTGACTGTTATAAAGTTATGGTATATTATCAGAAAAGTTAAAATAATTTAATTGAAAAAATGTCGAATAACAGAATTAATCAAAATTATATATTGTTTTTTTTACAGTTGATGCGAAGACTATGAATATTATCATTTCGAAAATATTTGCATGTAAATAAAATTTCTCTTCTACCAATAGTTCAGAACACTATAACAAAACAAAATATTATTGTCAGATGTGTTTTCAATAAGTTCTTTGTTTCTAATAATAATATATGCGATACATGTCATAGGAAGCAGTAAATATCATTTGATCCTTCGTTTCGACAATTCAACTAATATATTAGTCTGCTATACACATCGATGTAATTGTTCAGTATGTCTCCGAATGGATCATTTTTTTTGTTTCTACAAACTTTGACATAAAATGCTGAGTTTTAACACGAGGACTTGAAGAAATGTAATAAAATGGATAAATTGCCTGAATATTTATATATATTACGAGAATAAATTTCGAATTAATTATTCAATATAAAAACATTCAAAAAAAAGCTAATCTTATTGCATTAAAAATAGTTTTAGAGATGCAGAATCTATTGTCAAATTGAAAAATTTTTCTTCAACGAAGAAAAAGATGACAAATGCCTCATCATACATGATCCAATTCTATTTTCAATCTTTGAAGCATTCAACAACGTTTTTTAATTTTGGTTTTCATTTCAGTAAATAGAGAATGTTGTTTGTGGAATAAATTTTTTGTGTCAGAGCAAAGTTGGCAAAATTAACATCTACTCCATCATTCAAATATCTTAATCGAGGAAATCTTAGTAACCAATAGCACTTCTCAAGGTACTTATTAAATAAGAAATACACATGCAAGTATTAATCGTTATATATATAAAACATGAAAATTTTGTTTGTGTTTTAACTTGATTTTTCTCTATAACTATGATATTATATAGCAAGAGAGTGATAGCATCTTCTATCATCACAGCCCACCAGGTGGTTTTTTTAGGCTGACTCGGAGAGATTCTTTCTGCTTGTTATGGAGAAAATAATGTGGTACTCGAAATGGTCTATTACAAGCATATGGTCTCTGCTGTTGTTATACTTGTCATACCTATGTTCATTGATCTACCGATCTGGCTTGACTCACTTTACATGTACCTATTCTGGGCAAAGAGGGAAGAATCTTCCTTAGTCAAGCACTATAATGAGCTGAGAAAAGCCAGCAGGGAAAAATAGCAATGAAAATAAATTTATTGAACAAGCTGAAGAAAAAAAATTTACAACTACTTTCAAGTTTGTTCAGATGTTTCTTGATAATTCAATAGATGAGAATGATTTGAAGGTGATTTCTCTTGAGCTATTTTTACCGCTTGTTGAATATTTTTCGTTGCCATACCATATTATCGTGTAGCCAAATATGATTTCACCAAATTATGATAGATGCCAGCTAAATCAGAATGATTCCATGGTAATTTGTGTTTATAAATTTGGAATTCTTTTTCAAAATATGCCATTGCCGTTGAATAACCTTTCATGTTTCGATAAGTTTCATCTTTATTTTTATATGTCGTTGCACCCATCGAGAGGATTATTCTGAATATTCTCTTAAATACTTAATGTTTGTCAATGAAATGAAAGTGTCCTTTCATAATTTTCTATCATTTAATGCATAACACCAATGTTACTGTATGTAATAGTCTGATAGGGATGTCCATCGGGTAACTTTTTTTGATCTATAGCGAGACGCTTTTCAAAACAATCAAGTGCTTTTGTGTAATCTTTCATTCTGCGATAAACTCTTCCTAACATACTACATAAAGTACCCAATCAGAGGTGATTCCGAGTTAGAGCTCTTCCGTAGATGTTCTGTGAGTTTCCGTGAAATTCAATTGTTTCCAAGCAGCCATCCATATCCATATACAGCTTACCGATGTTGACCTAGAAATTAGTCACTTCGGAATCATTCAAAAGTAAGACTTCTTCGTATATTTGAAATGCTTTTTCATAAAACTCAAGTGCTTTCGAATAGTCACCTATAGTCTTATACACTTGACCGATGTTGTCGTAGGAAATACCCAATGAGAGATGATTCGAAGGCAGAGTATTTTCGTTGATTTCTAATGATTCTTTATAAAATTCAAGTGCTTTTGAGTAGTCACCCATAGCCTTATACACTTCACCGATGTTGCTGTATATATTAGCCAATGAAGGATTATCTATTGGAAGAGTTTTTCGGTTGATTTCGACGAATTTTTCATAAAACGAAGCTGCTTCTTTGTATTCTTCTTGTTTCTGTTTTATCCATCCAA